AACTAAAACCCTGCATGCTCTACGGTGTGGCCAAAAAAAAAGATGCGGTTGAATCAAGGCTGGAGAAGGGCCTGAAGCAGGGGCGGAGGTGCAAGGAAGCGTCATACCACCTTCCATACAACACAACCTCCACTCAGAGCATAGTTCAGGAGCAAAGAAGGCTAGGAAGGGAGGAAGGAACAGAGGTAAGGGCTCGAATTGGAATTGCCATGGGTGAGGTGTGCCCTGCCAGCTATAGCACAAGCTCCCCAAGAGAGGACAGGAGCCCTTCCTATAGAAGAATAGGTAGATGGATGCCATAGGAGAATGTCCAGGAATACCTTCCCGGTTCCCCTCCCAAATATTTTTCCTGCCAATGCTTAAAGTTCTACCATTAGAGGGACTTCCCTGGCGGTCCAGTGGTTGAGACTCTGCGCTTCCAATGCAGGGGGCCCGGGTTCGATCCGTGGTTGGGGAGCTAAGATCCCACATGCCTCGTGGTGTGGCCAAAAAATGGGGGGGAAAAAAAGTTCTACCATTAGAGATTTATTCTTGTGTCTTTGTTCCCTCCCACATTTAAGAAAAAAAAATTGCATTATAAATGTTAAATATGCTTGCGATAGAAAATTGGAAAATACAAAGAGGATAAAAACATTTTTAACACACACTCGCAACCTCCAAGCCACCCACAAAAAAGTAATATCTTCGTATCCTTCTCTCCCATCTTTTTGGCTGTTTGCAAGCATAGTTGTGTCTCCCACGTGTGGAATTCTGTGACCCACTTTCCCCACTTAGTTTCAGTCCTATTTCAGTCTGATGTTCTGGAAAGATCAAGTACCCAGCCACCAAGTGCCGATCAGTTCCATAATGCTGAGGAAATTACTTACCTTTCTGAGCTCCAGTGTCCTATCTGTAAAGGGGGGACAATGATGCCCCATGTGATACCTCATGGCCCCCTGGAACCAAATCAGAGAGAGTGAGAGTTAAGGCCAGTTCAAATGTGCTGGGGTAGGACGGATGGGAGTGGTCAGAACAGAACTGGTTACAATGAGGCCATAGCACAGAAAGCTAGGCCGCAGGGAGTGGGGGAGCCCAGGCAGAGGGACAAGTGAGCGCACCCACACCTGTCCGGTTGGGTCCTCCCCAGGACCAGCTCCCCTGAGCAGCCATGCCTCGGGCTTGGCTTGGGCACTGGTACCTTCCTTCCGAGCCACTGGGTATCACTTGCCCCACTTCCTGTTGGGTCGAGTCCATTTCCGGTGCAGCCCTGTGGGTGGTTAGAGAGAGATAGACAGCCTGGAATCCCTCATTTCCACTTGCTCACAGCCTGGTGGTGAGCACAGAGGATTGTGTGAGTGCCGGGCTCTGCCTGGGGCCTGGGCTTGACTTTGGAGCTCTGGGGGACCTGGGGCCAGACAAGGATGAATGGCTCCTGGGGGTTTGCTTCAGGCAGGGTGGCCTGGTCTGGGGGCAGGTTTGCGGGGAGGATGAAGAGGCCTGGAGCTGGATTTGATACAGCCTACACAAGTCTTTCAGATCACTCATTTGTGACCTCCATGGTGTGTGTGTATGTGCGCTTGCGCGCGCAGGGGGCCAGGAGAACTCCATCCCCAAGCCGTGGCTGCCTTGGGCTGGTTCTTGGAGACAGGTAGCTGCATGTGGATGTCTAAGAATGCTTCTCTTGCATACCTGTGTGAACGTGTAGGTCCGGGAGCAGCTGTGGGTCTGCCTAGGAATTTAGACAGCCACGGGGGAGGTATAGGGGAGTCTGTGTGTCACTGAATGCCTGGACTTGTGTTGTAGAGTGTCAAGGTGTGTGTGTGTGTGTGTGTGTGTGTGTGTATGTGATGGAGCATGTGTCTGGGCGTGGGAGGGGGTGTTTCTGTGAGCATGCATTGTGTCAGAATAACACTTTCTATCTCTGCAGCCCCATAAAAAGGCCTTAGACCTAAGTTACAAGCTGACGACAACACACATTACCTGAGTACCTACTAAGGGCTAGGCCCTGTGTCAGGCCCTGGAGATACAGAAAGAAGTAAAACTCACCCTCCCCCCTCCCCCCCACCCCCCATTGAGGAGCTCACGGGGCAGAGCAGGAGGTGTGAGGAAGAAATCATTATGGCCCAGGCTGTAAGTCCTGAGGGCTGATCCTTGTGTCTTTCCTCAGGGGTCCCACAATATCACAACTGTGGAGATAATCTGTTTTCACCATCATCTCCTCCTCCAGACTAGAGCCCCTTAATTATGATTGGCACTTAGGAGGTACATGATGGTCTGTAAGGATGAGTTATGCAAAGGCCACTGTGAGTCAGGCTATGCCTGGGTGGCCCTCAGCCAGCCGTGGCCAATCATGAGTGACAAGCAGTGTGACCAACCCACTGGGGCTGGGCTTAACTCTTGTTTCCACTACTTACAGCTGGGTCACAAGCACCAGATACTTAATCTTCCTGAGCTTCACTTAACTCATCTGTGTAATGGGAATAATGATTGCCCTAACCTCTCAGGAGGCTTGAGGCTTCAGTGAGACATGCTGGACCCAAGGGTGGGGTTCACACCATTGGCTGGTGGAGGCTCAAGAACTTCCTTCTGGGTTTGGGATGAGCAGATGCAAACTATTACACATAGAATGGATAAACAATAAGGTCCTATTGTATAGCATGGGGAACTATTTCAATATCCTGTGATAAACCATAATGGAAAAGAATATGCAAAAGAATGTATATATACGTATAACTGAATCACTTTGCTGTACAGTAGAACTCAACACAACATTGTAAATCAACTATACTTAAAATAGAATGTTTTTAAAAAGAACTTCCTTCTGGATATTTCCATGTGTATCTCACCATCCAACCACTAATGTCCCCGGTGAATCTTTGGTGTTTTCTCCAATTTCCCTGCATCACAGCTTTAACTGTCAGATGTCAACATGTAATTTTTATGAAACGTTGAAAATGCGTCACTTTGGGAGAATGTGCCTCCCCCTCCTCGCCCCCCCTCCAGGCATGTGCATGCGTGTGTGTACTTGTATGTATGGTGGGTGCCCATGGGCATGAGGACAGGAGGGGCAGCTGGGGCAGCTCCCTCCTCACCTGCCTGAACTCAGGTGCCCATTGGGGTGGCTGGCGCCTGGTGGGGCTCTTTTTCCTCTCTGACTCACGCTGGTCCAGCTTGGCCTCCCCTCCTCTGAGCCTCGTTGAGCCTGGTTCAAGGTCTTCCTAGTTGTGTGCTGCAGCTGGTTTGGACTGGCTTTGTGGAGCCACCTGTGCAAATCTCTTCCTAACTCCTTAGATCAAGGATGATGCCACATTGGTAGCTTGAAATCAGCCACGGTGGCAATATTTGCAGCACGGGAATCTGCAAATGATATAAATCAGACTCCCACCCACCCCGCAATGCAGCACACCACTGGTCATACCTGCAGTTATAACAACCCCTGATGTTGAGTGCCAGCACCTGCTAGGCATTTGGCATCACTCTTTTTTTTTTTCTTTTTTGGCCGTACCACGCTGCTTGCAGGATTTTAGTTCCCCGACCAGGGATTGAACCTGCGCCCTTGGCAGTGAAAGCATGGAGTCCTAACCACTGGACCTCCAGGGAACTCCCATGGCATCACTCTTATTTGCACAAAAATCCTGTGAGATATTTATCGTCACCCCCATTTCACATCTGAGGTTCATAATTTACATGATTTGAATTCATGTCTCTGGCCACCACACTGGACCGTGTGCCTCAATAAACAGAACCATGAGATGCGATATCGCTGTCAGAGTTGTTAAAGATCATTCATTAGCTACTCACTCCCCTCATTGGACAGGGGAACTGAGCCCAGAGAGGCTCACTATGGCTGGGGGCTTCCTCTGTTAATATTGCAGCTCCCGTCTTCCCACCAGTCTCCCAGCGCCTTTGTGTTCACAAAGCCAAGGTCACTGTCACCTGATGTTCTGCATGCATGGTTGATTTTTTGGAAACTTTACATGCAGATCTTGACATTCAGTGCAAGTTCTATTTTGTTTTGCTTGATTTGACCCAGTGTTCAAGACTCTCAAAAACATTAAATCTTGCTTGGGCCATTTGTTGTATGCCTCCATCCTAGATGGGTGCCACACACTGCCTTGATCACTGCACCTTCGCTGCAGGAATTGGGGTTAAACTTTAAAAAAGAATAAGCAAGACAGAGCTTTATGGCCCAACACTGGACATCTCCACCCTGTCTGACAGAAGTTCTGGCGTCTACACTCTTTGGAAGAAAGCAGGTTCCTCTCCCACCCCCATCCTGGCTCGGCCTGCCCCCACTGACCAGAGGATCTGCATTTTTGTTCCATGAACATCAGCAAATGCTCACTGAGACGTCCTCCCTGACAGTCTCCTGTTTAGAAACTGGGCTCCCTTTTCCCCACTCCGCTCTGACCAAGGGACCCCCCCGCCCCAACCAGGACTCCCTTTGCCGTTAGACGTGCATTTCTCCTGCTCTGGAAGAGCGGCTCTGCATCCACAGCCGGCCCTGCCTTCGGAGTCGTGGAGCCTGGGCAGAGGGACCCGCACCGGCCCGTCTAGAGAGCGGACGAGACACTACTTCTGCTCAGACTCCAGGCGCCTCCCTCCTTCTACGCCCCCTTGTTCTTTGGGGGAAGGTATCCTGCGTGTGCCTCCACCCCGCCCGGAGGGGCAAAAACTCCCTGGTCCCCGGCTCGTACCCCCATCTTCGCCTCTCCAGGCGCGGGACCTTCACGTTCAGCCGCCGCGTCTCCAGGCCCGCACCGCGTCAGGTGAGCTCTCACCTGGGGAGGGTGGGCGCGGGAGCTGGGGGCGGGGCGGGGGCGGACCCGGGGCGGTGGCCCCACCCGCGACGGGGCGGGGCAAGCCGGCGGGGCCAATGAGGCGGGGGGCTCGCCGCCTGCGGGGGTGCGCAGCCAGCACCGCTCCTGTCCGCCCGCCCGCTCCGCCCCTCCGGGGTTTAAAGCCCCGCGGGCGGCTGGTGGCGACGCTGCTAGCGCGGAGCGGCGCGAGGAGATGCGACAGGACGCCGCGCCGCCGGCATCATGCGCCCCCCGCCCGCGCTGGCCCTGGCCGCGCTCTGCCTGCTGGCGCTGCCCGCCGCCGCCGCCGCCGCCTACTTCGGGTCAGTGCCCGCCGCGCCCCGGCCCGCCTGCCTTCCCCTCCTCCCGCTGCAGCAAGGCCAACTTTTCCCTTCCGCTGGCCCTGGCCCCGGCAGGATCTCGAACTCAGACCTTAGCCCCGGTGATACCCAGCCCCATCTCGGGGTCGGAGTTCGCGCCCAGAACTCCTTCTCTGGCTTCCCCGACTCGGACCCGGATCCCACCTTTTAGCGTCCGAGCTCTGGTCCCCTTCACCGCCGCTCTTCTCACCCTGTCCTGTCCGAGACCTCATCCCGCCCACTCGGCCGGGTCTCAGACCCCCACCCAAGCTCCCGGACTCTGCAGGCGTTTCGCACCTTGTCCCCGTCCTCCCCGGGGCTCCCTGTCCCTGCCTGTCCAAGGCGTCCCTCCCGCGCTCGGATGCCCTCTCGGATCCTCACTCGGTGCCCTGTCCGCCCCAATCCTGGGCTCTGTCCAGCCATCCGTCCTTGCCTGGGGCTCCCTCCCGACCCTCTGCCTTCGCCCCGCAGAGCGGAGACCCGGTGGGCTGGCTGGATGGGTGGGGTGGGTTTTTACCGAGGCTGGGGGAGGGGATCGCGCTGATCCAAGAGGGATGGGGGAACCTGCGGACCGTGGGGAGTGTCAGCTGGAGAGCGGGAGGGAACCGTCTGTGGGGGAAACCCAACCAAATCTCAGACCTGGCGTCGGGTGACTTCTCAGGAGAATGACGAAGAGAGTAAGAGGGGAGGCGGTATACATGATTGGAAAAGGAGGGTCAGAGTTGGGGGTGACAACTGGGGAGAGAATGGGTGGGAGTGGGCAGTGTTTGGAGAGCAAGTTACAGGGCAATTGTCCCTCCTTCTCTGACCCTGAATTACAGGGACTTGGGGTGGGAGATGGGGTCGTGGGTGTGAAGGGACTTTCCTGACCTCCACCCAAAGCCTGTTCTAAATATATACAGTCTCTTACTTTAAATCATGGCACTTTTTGTGATCCTCACCCCAAATCAAGATGAGGTTTACAGTCTGACCCCAGCAAAGGCAAAAACCAACAAACAAAAACCAAAAAACATAAACCACCAAGCAAGTGACCTGCCAGAGACTGCTCTTAAGGACCTGGCAGGGAGGGGGCGAATAAGGGTCTGAGAGGTCCTGCACAGGCTGGAATAAGGGCTGTGGGCTAATTTCCAGGTCATGACCCCTGGTTAAAACATGCCTTGGCTGTGGGCAGTGGCCGCTCCTGAAATATATAGCGGGTGGCATCAGCCCAGACCCTAGCTCAGGGCTCAGCTTGCTGGTGACTTGGGAAGATCACTTAGTCTCTGGCCTCATTGTTCCCTTTTGTACAGAGAAGGGGCTAAACTTGATATGACTGAGCCTCTCTATCCACTTCAAGAGCACTGTGCATTCATGTTTGTTTCCCAATGATTTCAGTCTTGAAAAGGCACTGCTCCTGCCTCAGCAGACAGGATAAAATGGTTATAGGGCACAGACTCTGGGCTCAATCCCCAATCCATCTGCTTGCTAGCTGTGTGTTCTTGGCCAAGTCACTTAACCTTTCTGTACCTCAGTTTCTTATCCTTAAAATGAGAATAATAGTGCTTATTTCATATGAGGATCATGTGAGTTAGTACATGTAAAGCACTTAGAACAGGGTCTGGCACATAGTAAATGCTCAACTAATGTTACTAATTATTAAGGAGATACAGTGTCTTGATATTCCAGCCCCAGCAGGGGTTTCTGAGCTGGAATGGAGAGTGGGGGCAGGAGAGGGGTGTGGACAAATGGTGCCTGCATCCTCTTGGATATCAGCTCATTTTCACAATCCTTGTGTTTGCTTGGGTTTGGAGGTTGAGGATGGGGCAAGGGCCAGATGAGATGGGAGGAGAGGGGCTCCAGGAAGCTGGAACCACCCAGCCTGGTGTGGTTGGAAGGGAAAGGAGTTTGTGGCAGTGCACAGGTTTAGAATTTGAGGGCCGTGAGCAAGGGGGCAGTCTTGGAAATGAAAAGGGAGATGGTGGATCAGGCATGGGTTGGGGCTGAGAGGGAACCTCTTCCAAGTCGTGAGCCCCCCTGGACAGAGCTGGCAAAACACACTCAAGCCACCACCACCCCAGTCTGGGGAGGAGGAAAAATGTTCAGAGAATAAGCTAAAACTGGGGTTTTGTGCTGTTGTGTTTGGTCTCAGAGAACAGACAGGATGCAGCCCGAATTCTCACTGAGGAAGCCCTTTCACGACTCAGTTAGGCCAGGTTTTCCATCGTACTATCCGAATTCGCTCTCTGGAAGGAATCTATAACACTGTAGTGAGAATGTGAGGCAATGTGCTTCTCCCCCCTCTAGGTCATTTGCATCTGAAGTCTCATTTCTGATTATAAGATCAAGTGTTTTGGCATCCTGATAAAAGAAAATTCAGACATCAGGAGAGCAGGTGAGGCCAATCTTCTTGGGGTTTTTAAGATCATAGAATCAGGCTTTAGAGTTGGAAGTGACCCCCAAAGTTTCTCTAGTCTAACTCCCTGCTTCAAGCAGGTCATGTATTATTATTCCTATTTTTCAGATGAAGGAACCGTCATCCCCGAATCAGTGAGCCAGCAACTGCTTCTGGTGCTTTTGCTTGAGCCTAGCACCTAATTCTGGTGATGCCGATAATAACGTAACTAGTATTGCAGTTTACAAATAATTTTCTTGTTCAGCCCCTCTGCCATCTGATCCTCAGACCCATTCTTGAGGTATACAGGATGGGTGTAAATAGTTCCCAAAAGGAAACTGAGGGTGAGAAAGTTTCAGTGACTCACGCTATGTCGCACAGCAAGCTAGTGGGAGAGGCAGGATAGAAACCAGGTCCTGCCGCCAATCTGGACTCTTTGTTCTACAGAGAGTATTAGCCACTAGAGCTAATACTGTGTGGTCACCCAGGAGAGCTGCAGCTGCAAAGGAGCTGCAGAGGGTGAGGAGGTAGAGGGTTGCCCCCTCCCCTACTTGGTTAAATCTGTCAGATTCTTGGCTGTAGTGGGATGGGTGAGGTCACAGCATTCTCCTCTGTCCTCAGCAGTGAGATAGGATGCACTGAGCCCTGCTCGGGTATCAGGTGGGCTCCCAGAGGATGGCACGATGACAGTGGGATGGAAGGTGGACCAAGTTTGTCCTGGCTCTGGACCACTCTCAGTGTTGTCCACGATCGAGTCACTTGCCTTCAAGGTCTTTAGCATCTGGAGGTCCTAATGTTCCCTAACCAGCTGGTCCTGGCTTGGAAGTCTAGGATTACTCACGAGCTCATGTCTTGGCTCAAATGGCTTGGGAATTCTGCAAATCTTAAGTTCTGTGGTGTTTTATAAATGAACACTCACTGTATTATGTGATGAGCTGGGTGTATGTTAGGCCTTGTCAAAAGTCATCTCAGTGAATTTTGTATCTAGAAATAGTTCCTGCGGATGCAGCTTTTAAAATAGTAGTTGACTTTGGTGGTGCTTTTTAAATGTGTGACCTCTGCCCTGTTTGGGTTTCTTTCCTATCTAGGGATGGTACACATCCGTTTATGAAAGCACAGGCTTTTGAGTCATCTAGAACTTAGTTTGAATCCTGGTTTTGCCTCTTGCTAGCTGTGTGACTCCAGGCACATGTCTTAACCTGTCTGAGCTTTGGGTGATGATAATACCCATCCTAAAGGCTGGTGTGAGGCTTAATTCAGACAACGAATGAAAGGGCCTGGTAGGGTGCCTGGCACATACTAAGTGCTCAGTACAGGCTCACTCTTGTTGGTTGCTAGGGTTCTAACCATCTTCTTGGGTTGTGGAAGTTTCATCATTGTGAAGAAGCAAAACACAACCTTAATTTTTTTTTCCAAATCAACATTACATGCAATAAAATGCATGTATTCTAAGTGCATGGTTTGGGTTTTTTTTTGCGGTACGCGCGGCTCTCACTGTTGCGGCCTCTCCCGTTGCGGAGCACAGGTTCTGGACGCGCAGGCTCAGCGGCCATGGCTCACGGGCCCAGCCGCTCCACGGCACGTGGGATCCTCCCAGACCGGGGCACGAACCCATGTCCCCTGCATCGGCAGGTGGACTCTCAACCACTGCGCCACCAGGGAAGCCCCCCCGGTTTGGGTTTTAACAAATGTATACCCTGTGTAACCACCACCACAATTGCTATATGGAACAGTGCCATCATCCCAAAGGATCCCTTGTGCTCCTTTGCAGTCAACACTCTCCCACCAGCCGCCCCCGTCACCACTTCCCCGCTTTCTGTCACTTTAGTTTTGCCCATTGTAGAGTTTCATATAAATGGAATCATATGGTATATAGCCTTTTGTGTATGAATTCTTTTGCTCAAAATAATTTTTTGAGATTCATCCATGTTGCTGCATGTATCAGTAGCACATTCCTTTTTTCCTGCTGAGTAGTATTCCACTGCATGGATGTACTGCAATTTGTTTATTCATTCACCAGTTGATGGACATTTGGATCATTTCCAGTTTGGGGCTATTCCAAATAAAGCTGCTGTGAACATTCATGTACATCCCTTTTTGTGGGCATATGTTTTTATTTCTCTTGAATACATATCTAGGACTGGATATTTGGATTGTATTGTCATTTGAATGTCTTTTTCATTGGGTTATTTGTCTTATTGAGTTGTAAGAGTTCTTTACATGTTTTGGATATAAGTCCTTTGTCAGAAAGTATTGGCAATATTTTTTCCCTGTCTGTAGCTTGCCTTTTCATTTTCTTATTGTTATCTTATGAAGAACAGAAGACTTTAATTGTGATGAAGTGCAACTTTTGAACTTTTTCTTGTATGGTTTGTGCTTTCTGTGTGTCTCGTCCAAGAAATCTCTGCCTATTAGAGGCTGCAAAGATTTCCTCCTATGTTTTCTTCTAGAAACTTCCTAGTTTTAGCTTTTACACTCGGATCTATGATTCTTTTGGGGTTAATATTTGTGGATGGTGTGAGGTAAATGTTGAAGTTTATTGTTTTCCATGTAGATATCCACTTGTTCCAGCACCATTTGTCAAGAAGATGAT